TGTCATTCCAAGGTTGACTCCTTGGTGTACCTATAGCTAATATAGCTTGATGTAAAAGTGCACCCCATATTTTCTGTATACACTGTATTTTAAAGACATGAAGTCTGGAACTGTTTAGCTTCACTGGGGACTGGAAAAAAAAAAGTCAAATAAAACAAAAAGAAAAACGCAAACAAATTAAACCCCCCAAAAAAAAACCCCAAAAAACTTACCAAAACAAATTAAAAAAAAAAAAGAACAAAAAAATAAAAGAGAAAACACCAAAGTATTCTACAGAAAACTTTCTAAGAAATGGTGTGTTTACCTACTTCTGTAGATCACACTGAATCCTTTTGTCAATTATTCCATAAGTATCTTCACAACATGTACAATATTCTGATGAACACAGTCATGCTTTTTATATATCCAGTCATTTAACACAGCTCCTTATATCATTCACTCTCTATTTCAGGTTTGCTTTTTTGCTTTGTTGGTTTTTTTTGGGTTTTGGGGTGGTTTGGTTTTTTTGGGTTTTTGTTTTTGTTTGTTTTTTTGGGGTTTTTTTGTTTTGTTTTTGGGTTTGTTTTTTTTTGAGGCAAGGGTTTGGGGTTTTTTTAAATCATCCTTTGCTAAATTCTCAGTGAATCATCAAGTAAGTGGTATGATGGCCAGAATATCACTGGCCACCAGTGATAAATTGTACCATCTAATAAAATATTACAGATCATATACTTCTCCCAGAAAGACCTTGTGAATCTTTCCTGTTCATCACTTCTCTTCTAATGGAATACCGCTGTTGGCCCATCACACACGTCAATCTAAACAGAACATAAAAACTGTGCTCAGAGAAGAATTTCAAGGAGCACTTCAAAAGTGCAATGACCAGATGGCTTAAGACTAATTAGAGAGCTTCTTCACTGTGGAAGTTGCTAAATTTTTTTTTTGAGATCTCTGTTGCAACCAAAGAGATACAAACATGAGATACAGATGCTTCATATCATTTTTAGCTTCTTCAGGAAAAACAACCAAAAAAATATCTCCCGTAAATACTATTTTCAAGGGGAAAAAAAACAAGGGTTCTTAGATTCCTGTAACACACATATTACAAGATGAGCACTCTTTATGAAACAGCTGATAACCAATAGGTTTCAAGGCAGTATTTGTAAGGGCCCACAGAGGTTTTCCTTAACCTCCAAAAACAAGTTTGTGCAATAAGGTACACCACTTTTTACAAGGATGATTAGCCCAGTTCATAACAGAGGAGCCAAAATATGGAATACCCACAACCCCTCAGTCAGGTACCATGTCAAAAGGCCACTGACATGTCTTGTGACATCAACAGATGAGCTACAACTGGTACTGTACCATAGAAATGACCAAGTTATTGTTTAGTCCTTGTGAAAAGACAAAGTAGCAGTCCTGGAAAAGTGATTCAGCTAATACTTACCATATCTTTAGCAAAAACCCATTTCTTAACTGGGAACTTGAACATTCTTTTAAAAGGATGTCCCCATTTGAGGCCATATACCTTGACTAGACAAACTGTATGAGAATTTGGTGAATAGCCTCTTCCATCTCAAAATTTCTGGTACTAACAACTGTCATTTCTTTTTTATCTCAATGCATAGTACACTCCAGAATATCTCTGGTTAATGTACTATCAGGAAACATAAAAATTAAGATTATGAGACACCTGATGGCCTTTCCTGATTACCTAACTCTTATCAGCCTCCTGTAAGCCTCAGTGCTGGAGAACCAGCTTACACATTTTCATAGAGCAGTACTTTAACCTTAAACCACAAAGACAGAAAGGAAGAACAGCAATGCAGCACTGATAACAGTAAAAAAAAGAAAACAAACAACAAAAAAAACACCCACAAACAAACAAACAAAAAAAACTGAGAAGTAAAAATCAGTTTGAGGAAGAGTTCCTCACAAACCTCTCCAGAGAGCATGGCCCATGGCAGAATGGTCAGTTGCTATCACCATAATAGCAAAGGGAAGTTGTTTCCTTGCTGTATGACCTTGAAAAAGCCACTTGACCTCTTTCCATCTCAGCTTCCCCAGTTGGGATCCAGAAGAAAATTAATCTTTTCCTTTCCCTAACAAGCTCTTTGAGGTCCACAGAGAAAGGTATCCCTAAATTGCACTCAAAGTCCCAGTCTTGTCACCTCTGTGCATTATTTCAATGTGAAGTACAATTTGAAGCCCACTGTACCATGAAGAATGTGTCAATGAAACTGTAATTTAAAAATGTCATGTTTTGATGAGTAGAGTTGCTGCCAAGCATAACAAGTCAGAAATAACCACTATACAAACTAAGCAATGCTCCCTAAAAACTCTCTGGACACAAGTATCTACTTCATATCCAACTCCCTGAAGAAACAGACTTGCCTCGGACTCCTACAGGGCACTGCCTTCCACCCCTCAAAACAAGTAGGATTATATCCACTAACATCTAGCAAGTACATAGATAGCCAAAAGCTGTTGAGCTTGGTTTTTATTTCTAACAGACGTGGATCTGCTTGGGGGAAAATAAGAAAACAAAGTTGCTTGTATAACCATTTAAAACCCTGGCGCTGTAACAATTCAAGTTCTGTGAAAGAGTACCAAAAGCTTGTTTCCCATGTATCTCTGAACCAAATTAAAAGTGAAGATGACAAAAGGAAGATCCCATCCAGAATCTGTAGTTCTAAGGAAATGGTTTTTTTTAAAATGGTATTTTAAAATAAAACCCATATGAAGTTTTATATACTATACCTAGGTTCCAAAGCCGAAACGCCAATTAAAAAAAATTAAAAATTAAAGTATCTGCATTTATATGAACACATTTAAAAATATTTAAAATAAAACATTTTATTTTAAGGGTAAAGTGCCAAATGACAAAGCATGACAGAATATGACAAATTTTATGTTCGGTTTCACTAAGAATTGATAATATAACATCCCTGGAAATCTGTAGAATAATAACAACATGAACATCCCCTGAGCAGTTGAAAATTACAGAAGCCAAGAGTGAGTTGAAAAAAACATTTCTGCCATCCTCCAGCTGTGAAGTGGACCAGGGCACAAAGGTCCAGCTGAAGGCTGACCCAGCAAAAGGCAAACCAGTGGCCACCCTTCAGCTGGACAGGAACTGCTCTTCATACACAGCTGCACAGGCAGCACTCATGCGGGTACAAAAGCAAGGGAGAGCACCATGGTGGAAACTACTGCCTGGAGTGAGCTCTGCAGTTCCTCACTTTGGGTTTTCAAAGGCTCATGGAGCTACAGCACTGGGGTGTGGCTTCACCATGTACAAAGTATATCTCGAAACAAAGGAAAGAAAAAGAAAACACAGAAAACAAGCTGCTACAAAAAGGGAGATTCTCCCTTCGCTAACATTTCCCACTGTGCAGTGTGAGTGCCTATGCCAAAATGTTAACAAATTACTACTTTTCTTGTCAGATCCACACACTGTTCCAACTGATTCCATGACTGCTCTGTAGTTGGATTCAAGACAGAGAAGAAGCAGGTAGAAGGGATGAAATATTCAGCATTATACCACATTCAGATCACACTAAGAATGGCAGGAAAACACACCCTCATGTTAAACTAGACAGTTCCCAACACTGCAAGTCATGCATTCTTGGAAAGAAGCTACATCTTCAGACTCTTTCTTTCCCATGGGACATTAGATAATGCTGCACAAACCCTTCTCTTTCAGGGTTTAGATTCATTAGACTAGCCATCTTTGCAGATTACACTTTTAACATACTTCTGCGACTGTACATTTACTGCACAAAAGTATGCATGATATACACACCTGCATCTGCACATAGAAAGGTAAGGCTTTTCAGAAGTGTCTAAACTTAGACTTCAAAGACCCTACACAGGTACTGAATTCCAGCGTCATTGTGATTTGCTTACTCCTCTGTGCTAAGCATGGATTTATGGGCCTATCTGCAGGTAGTTGATTCAGCAAAGCTTGACAATTCTGAATACATGCAAATCTGGTAATACCACTAATTACGGTAGAAAATATATTGTTAGATACAAACTCCCCCTCCCCACTACTCTCCTGCAGGTTCTCCTTTCCCCAGTTGCTTCACCAAGCTTCAATCATTCAAGCTAAAACACAAAGGCAATGCAGAATTTTATTCTTTGGATGTCTTAGATAAAATTGGTCAGCCCTTTCCAACAATAAATTTTCTTTCATTGTGTTTTCTCTTTTCTTTTTTTTTTTTCTGATCCAACAATCCAACACTGAAACCACGTTCTTATATTGCTAACAAATTCATGTCCCCAGCTCTTCAAACAAGGACTTCAAGTGTCTGCGACATGCTATCAGCTGCCATCAGACTTAACCAAACAGGACCAAGTTAAGGGCCTTTAGAAAAATCTCAGTTTTCACAAGCTCTGTCAGGGCTCGTTAGCGCTTGGCAGATGACTACTTTGAAGAGTTCATTCACGCCGAGCGTGCTGCAGCGGCGCAGGAGCTGTTCCCACCGGCCGGGCGACGGGACACCGAGCTGGGGAGGCGGCTGGACCTTCACCCCTGCGCTCAGGAACTGCTGCGCTCTCGCCCCGCACCGCTGCCCCCGGCCTTTTTCCGGGAGAGCGCGTCCCGGGGCGGGCACGGCCCAAGACAGAGGGAGCGGGGAATGACTCAACACGGGTGAGCAACACACCGTGCACACAGCCGCCTTCTCTTTTCTTGCTCTGGCAGGCACAGAACAATACCTCTGCGCCGAGCGTCCCGTGTGCCATGGGGCGGTCGGCACCTGCTTGCTTTAAGTCACTATTTTGATGTGAAGCCTTCCAGAGCACCATCTGCCCCACCGGCGCGCGTCATCCTGATCCCTCTGTCCTTTGCGCGACCGTAAGCAAACTTAAATTATTCTTTCGCCTCCCGAAACCCCTCTTCTTTTCTGCCGCCGCTCCCTTCCCAGCTACCGCAGCGCAGCCGGGAGGCAGCCGCCGCCGGGCAGCCCCGCGGACTCTCCCGCATCGCGATTCCGCAACCCTGCCGGCGTCCTTACCTTGATGCCCTGCTGCTGTGTGGTCAGGGTCAGCTTGGACTCGTCCAGGAGCAAAACTTCGCAGTAAAATTCCTCCGGGACCGCGCAGAAACAGCCCATGCCTGCTGCGATGGCCGAAGACGGGGCGGGGAGGCGAGAAGAGCCTCGGGCGGCGGCGGAGAGGGGCTGAGGCGCAGCCGGGTTTGGGCCGCGCCCCGCTCCGCGCCCGGGCTGCGCGGATGGAGCCCGGCGGCTGCTAGCGCGCAGCGCCCAGCCCCGCGGGGCGGCCCGCCGCCATCCCGCGGAACAGCCTGGACGGGGCTGCCGGGCTCTCTCTGCGGGAAAGGCGGGGGAAAAGACTGGCGGCTTTTTTAGGAAGGATCCCAGGGCACAGCCGTCGCCCGCGCCCGGCTGTCACGGCGTGTCCCCCGCCGCTGCCGCCCCGGGGAGGTACCGAGCCGCCCACCCGCCTCGTCCTCCGCCCCGTCCGCGCACGATTCCGCGCCTCCCCTTTGTGTGCAGCGCTCTCCGCCGCCGCAGCCGGGGCGCGAGGGTGTCCCCACCCGGCCAGCGCCTTACCTCCGGCCGCGGAGCCTGCGGGCGGAGCGGGGCGGTGACAGTGCCAGGCCGGCGCTGGGCTGCACCCCCGGCTGCCCGCGGCCGTGCGGGGGGGCGCCGGCAGCGCTCGCCTCCTCCCCGTCGGGGGCGGAGGGATGCAGGGAAGAGAGACCCAGCGGGCGGGCAGCGCCGGCCGCCTCCTGCCGGCCGCCGGGCAGGACTCCCCCGGGGCTCCTCTGGGGCGGGGAGCGGCGGACGGCACCTGCCCGGCACCGGCACCGCGCCGCTCCGTGGCACGGGACCCCACCGGCGTTCCAGGTCTGGGGTCGGGCCCTCGCTGCTCTCTGCCGTGGGGCGGGGGCGATGATCTCTCTCCCGGCCCGCGGCCCTCGGTTGTCCCCGTCGCCGCTGGGCACCGCTGCCCGTCCCGGCGGCCGCGGGCCCGGTCTCCGTGGCAGCACTGACCCCTGCGGGCTGCGCCGGCTCCGCTCCGGCGGGCGTCAGATCGGGGAACGGGTTTTGTCTCTGTACTTGAAAAAGAAGCGCTTCAGGAGACACCCCTAGTAAAGGGGTCCAGCAGAGGTTGAATTTTTGAAAGTGCCCTAGATCGAAGTCTGTTCTCCACCGTGCTGTTAAATACTGAGCTTGCTGCAGCTATCTTTAATTTACAAAACAACGATATTAAAAACAAATAAATAGATACATTTAAAAAATCAATTTAAAAAGTTGAAACCAAAACCCAACCAAAAAAAAAAAAAGAAAAAAGATGCAACACAAGAGATCCTCCAACTGCCTTTGAAGTTGTTGTCTGTAGTTTCTGGAGCACACAAAATCCACTTTCTTTGCTGCACATACCTAACCTCCAGGATTTTTCCCTTTCAGATAGAAGAGGGATCCTAAAAGTTTAGCCTTGATCCCACAAGTGCCTCTGCTTTTACATAAATCTGTATGCATGAGTCGTCCTATTGAAGAAGTTCACATGTATAAACTTAAAAATAATCAGAAATGGTTTTTTTATGGTCTTTAACTTGCTCATGTAACATAAGAGATGGGCACAAGGAAATTACGTTTACAAAACCTACTGTGTGTGTAGTAGGTAAGTCTGCTTTTAAACACTGTTCTAAATATAACCCTGCTGCTCCCAAGAAATAACACACTTGTTTTCACGTTTGAATTTGGACCTTGGGGTGTTGGGATCTCCATATCCATCCTGTAGCTGCAAAAAAAAACAATATTCCATGAGCACTGGGAAGATCAGGAGAAAAAAAAAACAAAACACTATATAGGTTCATAAAAATAAAGCCTTTTGAAAGACCTAGAGAGACTAGAAAAAGTTTAAAAATTCAACTTACTAATATTTTTTCCTGGACAATATGTACCCAGGGAGAATGCCATCCAGAAAGCACAGAAAATTTAGGAAATTTACTCTGGCTTTCTAAACACATTTTTCAAACAGCTCTTGAGCCCATCTGACAGCAGACAGTTTTCTAGAGAACACATAGTTCCTTTTCCCCTCTCTTTAGTCTCTTTAGATCCATGTATCATGCACATTGTGACATAAATTACCCTCTAAGTCAGTTAAAGTAATTTTATATGTGTAAATCACTAGTTAATCAAGTGAGACGGAGGGCTCAGTGAACTCAAAACTGCTTCAAAATCTTTATTGATAATTTTAAGTGTTCATATAGCTACAATCACAATCCCAAATCTGAGCAGTTTACTCTATGTTATATGCTCCTTATAAGCTGTCCAAGTGAATTATTTCATGCCTTCTCTTTTTGAAGATCCATTTTGTGCTGCTGCACATTAGCTGATTGGTCCATGGGAAAAATACAAAATACACAGTCATGTTGAGCTGATGCCAGTGTTTAGGGAAGTTAATTCATGAATTTGTGTCCTAGCCAGCTACTGCCAACAGTGAAGCACTTGATAAAGAAGCAGTACCAGAACCTGCTATTTGAGGTGAAAACCTGGGAGGAGATTCTGAAATTCAGAAGTGAGAAAATCAGCCAGGGGAGCAGAGGAAGAGGAAATGGAATAGATGGGATGTAGACTATGAACCAGTATGAGCCCTGAGAAGCCCAGAAAATCAAAACAACCAGCGGGCAAAAATATAGGGCCCAGTTTTTCCTTGGAGCACCATGTTACAGAAGACCAGCCCTGCCTAAGTATTTCAAGTATCAGAACCAGCTCACAGCTTGTGAAGATCCTGAGATAGTAATCTGCTTTCCAAATCCATTAGGAAACTGAGCTCCTTTTTACTTCTCTCTACAATAAAAAACACAGGTCAAGCACTGCAGAGGGAAACTTGTTGATGTAAGCTCTCATCACACAAACACTTATGGACATGTTTAACTCAGGCATGTAAGTACAGGACCAGAGCATTAAGGCATTTTTTTCCATTGCCTGTTTGATGAAGTAGCCAGCAGAACTCACTGCAGCCTCTGTGATCCAGTACACCGTCATTAAAATGTTCTGTTTTAGGTGGTATGAGGTCGTACAAACAAGGTACCACAAGGACTGCTATACCTGAAGTGACCTATATCCACATTCTAACATACCAGCAATTTGACTGCCCAAACGACACAGGGTGGCATATCTGCTTTCTCCCTCATTTTTACACAGTTGTGCTCACAAACATTTGCTGTCAGGAAGTTGATAATATAGTAGGAGCTATGATGACTTGTTTTAGCTGTTATCAGTATCATTTACCTATCACTATTGTCTATTGATATGTAGGGATGCAATTCCTGCATCGTATCCATGTGGGCTTCCAGTGACTGAGTGAAAAGTTTAAGAGAGGCACAAAGCAAGCTCTTCATTCTTCTTTACATGTAAAAACAAGTTTCCTGGACTCAGCTCCCTGCTCAAACAATGAGCAGAGGCAAAGCACTGAGGTCTAATGCAAGAAGATTAAAATTAAAACAGAGAAACGGCACATACTCTCTGGGCAACATGTACAGTCCTGAATGTATTTTCCATTAAAGAAAAAATCTTACTGAGACAACTGTTCAACAGGTATTGTCCAGTAGCGTCCCTGATCTTTACAGGGAAAATAAGGTACAACTCCCCCAGCAGCACTGCACTGCTGTGGTTTGGCACTGCCCACCTGCTCAGACACACCTGTCCTCAGCCCTGCCACAGGGGTTTTCCAGAGCTTCAACATGCTGTTAAGAACTCTACTTATTTGTGGTTCTTGGATACAAAAAGAGAAGAAAAGCAGGCAGTGGAAAAAGAATACTTTCCACATAGCATTTTATAGTATTCAGAGGCAAAAATTTGTGGCAATGGTGCATGAATTGACATTTCTCATTTCACTAATGAAAGGTTTTACTTAAAACACATTCAAGGATGCTGTCAACTACAGATTTACCTGGATTCTGTGTTACTGCTACACATTAGACATGTATGCATCCACTGCACCATTAGAATCTATGATCAAAAACACTGTGAAAATAAATTTATTCAGATATTCATCAATTTTATATTTCCTGCAAAAATGTTGACATTATGCTCTATACAATACATTTAGAGTGCTTAAAGCAAGACATGTTAAAGTTAAGACTTAATTACAAAACATGTTACAGAAAAGCCAAATTTCAGATATACAGTGCATTAAAAAATCCCACACAGGCAAACAAAACAAAACATTTAAAAAAATCTTAGGAGGCCACAATGTAAACTTGGACAGCTGGTTACATTTATTAGTCATTCTATAGCAATAAATGCCTTTAGATCCTCTGAACTGACATAGGACTAAGTGACAATAAATTCCTGATTTTCTTCACACATTTAACAAGACCCCAGAAGATTGCAACACTGCAAACACAGACTTAACAATCAAGGAAATAATAAGCATCTCTCACTTGCTGATTTTTTAATAAGAACATATGACATTAACTATACCTCCTCCACCCAAGAAAAATTTAAAATAAAGCTTTCTGTAAACCATAGAGGTAAAATTAGAAACTTCTCTAAACTTTTATCAAGGCAAGAAAAAAAAATCTGGTTTTAGCTACTATTTATTGAACCTAATTTTGTGTGTGATGTGGTTTTACAAAGTTTCTGCCAAGACTTTGACAAGTTACCCCTATGCAAAGAAGAACCTGATGATCCTGTTTTATTTTGCTTATGCTTAGCTTCCTCGGCAGAACTTAAATAAGTTTTAATAGTAAAGGTAATTGAGTGGCAAGATGTAACAATCTAACTTACCAAGAGGAAACAAAACCAAGAATTCTCTACATGACTTCAAGTCATACTCTCACAATTTAAACCAGTACCTTGTAGCCCCAGTCTGCAGAAAAAAACAGAGGCTGTGAAGGATTGTGGATATTTGGGACGTGATTTCTTGCAGAGAAGAGTTTTTCAAAGAATACTACCTAGTGGATAAACTGTTGTTTTTCTCAGTAACGCACTACAGTTTAGATCATGCTTAAGCACAAAAAGGAGAATATTGTCTCCACTCTACTGCACTTTTCCCTATCCCATTAGAATAGCTCCAGACATGCATCTTTGGGGTAAGACAATGAACAATGGTAAGCCAAAACCTATATCTAAGGCAGCTGGTGCTATGCCTGTTCCAAGGCATCTGATATACTCTGACATTCTTGTAGAAAGCAGTTGCTTTTAATACTTAGTGTAGCATTTTTTATCACAAGGACAGGCTGGCTGTACTGGCTGGCAAATGACAGGGGGCTCAGGTAACCAGTCTGCTGCCTTTTGTGCCCCACATTGTTCAAACACAACAGAAACCATCTTTGTTTGTAATCTTCTTTTCCTCTCTGCCACTTTCTGGATGCAAGTTTTGGAGATCCTCAATTCTGC